AAAATACAATCAACATGCGGTTGAGGAATGTCAGTGAATATACCCTATATAATGCTGTTTGACAAATTTTATTATTTTTTAACTAATGCAGTCGTGTTTTGCCTTACTTTACTAAATCACAAAATAAAATAACTTTACTTATTCAAAAAATTATTTAGAATTCTTATTGTGTCGAAAATTCATATGTTTGGCATTGGATACGGAATATTTACTCAAGTCAATGGAGCGTTTTGGGTCCAAATTTTTTTACTATGCTCCAATTTGTATGAATTTACTGAAAATGTTCTCAATTTAAGCTTTCTGTATCTAAAAAGTATCGAAAACCGTTTCAAATATAAATAGTTGTAAAAAAACTGAAAAATTTCATTTTATGAAGCACATTCGCTTTTATGTACGATATTACATAAAATAGTACCTACTTAATGATATATATGATACGATATATTTAAGCTTATATTTATTTTACAAAATTTAATAATTGAAATAATAATAATTTTATGTTTGTTTTTTGTTTCAGATATGCCGCAACAGAAAGTCAGTACACATAACTCAGGTGAGTTTTTCATAAAATTATATATACATATATGTTTATTAGGGTGGTTCTTAATATGGCTTTTTTGAATTTTCTTGCTCCCAGGGGCTCAAATGCTTCCAAATTGATCAACAAAAATTCTCTGAAAGTTTTAGCTCTTAATATTAACTCTAACATAGTCCGCACTTGAAACATGTTTCTAAGTTATAAAACAAATGAACTGCGGACTACCTTAAAGTTAACATTAAGAGCTAAAATTTTCAGAGAATTTTTGTTGATTAATTTGAAAGCATTTGAGCCCTTGGGAACAAAGAAATTCGAAAATGTCCATATTATGGACCACCGTAATATAAATATATATATATATATATATATATATATCAATTACTTACCATCAGCACTTGTAACCAGTCTCATTTGTTTATTATTCTGACTAATAAGTCTTCTGATAACATCGATTTGCTCTAAAGTCAATTGAACAGCGTCCAAATATTGCGAAGAACATGGAGCATAGGCTGACCAAAACTGTAAAAAAATTACACATTAAATAAAAAATTATTTAAATCCATAAACCTAGATTAAACTAGTGGTGTATGACATCGTGCCTTAAGGCAAATTGCTTGAACTTACCGTACCGTAATGAAATATTCGAGAAATTTTAAACGTTTTTAAATATATTAATACAAGTACTGTAACTTTCATTATTTTTACTATCTTGTTGTTATATCTGATCAAATCAAATATAAATCATAAATTATAAATCAATTTATCTCCAGAACATTAACAATCATCATTTCATTTCGAATTCAATTTCAAAAAAAAAAAAAAATAGTTGCGTCAAATTTACACAAAATTGAAAAAGTGCTCCCGTATAGTCACAGTCTAAACGCATTTGCAAATAATTCTGTGCGACATTTTCACTTATACTGTGTGAAAACTTGGAATTGTTTCTAAAAACTTGAATTTTTTGTTTAAAAACTCGGATTTTTTTTTCGAAAATTAGGAATTGTTTTTGAAAACTTGAATTATTTTGAAAACTTGTATTTTTTTTGAAAACTTGGATTCTTTTGAAAACTTGGATTTTTTTTTGAAAACTTGTTTTTTTTTTGAAAACTTGGATTTTTTTTTGAAAATTAGGAATTGTTTTTGAAAACTTGGATTATTTTAAAAACTTATATTTGTTTATTTTTTAATTTGGAAACTTGAAATTGTTTCTGAAAACTTGGAATTGTTTTCGAAAATTTGGAATTGTTTTCGAAAATTTGGAATTGTTTTCGGAATTTCGAAACCATTTTTGATATTAAAAAATTTCTCGAAATAAAAAAGTGCCTTTTCCAGAAACTAATCGTTTCTTCTTACTGTCAACACAAGCAAAATCTTTTTGAATCATTCAAATCGGACGCCTAGTTCACTCAAAAACTGCCATTTTTGCACATTTTGCTCTGTATCTCCGAAACGACTAGACCTGCTTTTGCCAAAAACTAGTCACATATTTTTCCAATCATTACAAATTAAATATTTTTTAGATCATTCAAATCCGATAGTCCGTTCTCTCGAAAACTCGATTTGTATTTTCTGCAACCTTTTGCTCGGTATCTCTGTAACGGCTGGACCTGCCTTTGTCAAAAACTAATCAGCACATCTCCCTATCAATAGGAATTGAATGTTTATTAAACCATTTAAATCGGTTGATCCGTGCGCCCGAAAACGTGGACGAGAAATGCAGACATACAAAACACACACACACACATACATTTTTCAAAATGTTCAGAAACCTTCAAAACGTCGAGAAATGCAAAAAATTTTATTTTTGATTTTCGGCCCATTACTATAAACTACCCTACGGTTAATAAAATAAAAATCCTAGACTTATGTATCTATCGTCTTACTACTAAATTGACTTTTTCCAATCTACTAATTCATAGTTACTATCACAATTTCCTTGCAAAAACTTCTTACATAATCACCTCCACCCATTCGACGAGTTTATTACAATTTCCTAGTAATGTCAGCTAATAACTTTCTTGAAAACAAATCTAGAACTTTGCTGTTCTTCCTGCAGCAAGTTGCTGCTGCTGCTGGTAATAATTTTTGCCTTCGTACTGCAACTACTACTTTTCTTATGGATTTATTTTAAAGTTTCGACTGAGAAATGGTTGAATCGCTTGAGGAAACATTGAGCTATTTTGAGTTATGGTAAAGGATAAAGGGTAAAGTTTTGGGGTTACGATTTAAAGTGGATAAAAATCTTGCACGGTGGAGCAATCTCCATTCGCGATTAAATGACGCGATTAAAAACCTTTGTCTAAGATTTATAAATCTGAATAAAAGTGTTAGTCACACAGACAAATCATATATTAACTTCCCGTAGGGAATTTTTTTTTGCATATCTTCACGTTTCAGGAGTTTTTGAGCATTTTGGCATACATCAGAAAAATGTGTGTGTGTGTGTGTTTTGTATGTCCGCATTTTTTCATTCACGTTTTTGGGCGCACGGATCAACCGATTTAGATGGTTCACAAATCATTCGATTCCTATTGATAGAGAGATGTGATGATTAGTTTTTGGCAAAGGCAGGTCCAGCCGTTACGGAGATACGGAGCAAAGAGTGCAGAAAATACAAATCCAGTTTTTGAGAGAACGGAGTATCGATTTGAATAATCTAAAAAACATTCCATTTGTGATGATAGGGAGAGGTATTTAGTTTTTGGCAAAGGCAGGTCTAGTCGCTTCGGAGATACCGAGCAAAATGTGCAAAAAATGGCAGTTTTTGTGAGAACTAAGCATTCGATTTGAATGATTTGAAAAACATTCTGCTTGTGTTGACAGTGAGAAGAAACTATTAGTTTCTGGAAAATGCACTTTTTTAAGTTCCAAATCATTTTTTTAATATCGAAGATGGTTACGGGTTTACGAAAACAATTCCAAGTTTTCAAAAACAATTTCAAGTTTTCGAAAACAATTTCAAGTTTTCACAAACAATTCCAATTTTTCAAAAACAATTCCAAGTGTTTCAAACAAAAATTCAAAGTTTTCAAACAAACATTCCAAGTTTTCAAACAAAAACTCCAAGTTTTCAGAAACAAATCGAAGTTTTCAGAAACAAATCGAAGTTTTCCAAAACAAATCCAAACTTTCCAAGTATTTAAAATAATCCAAGTGTTTCCCAATTTTTCAAAAACAAATCCTAGTTTTCAGAAACAAATCCCAGTTTTCAAACAAAAATTCCAAATTTTCAAACAAAAATTCCAAATTTTCAAACAAAAATTCCAAATTTTCAAACAAAAATTCCAAATTTTCAAACCAAAATTCCAAGTTTTTAAACATAAAATTCCAAGTGTTTCAAACATAAAATTCCAAGTGTTGTAAATATAGAATTCCGAATTCTTAAAATAATCCAATTGTTTCAAATATAAAATTCCAAGTTTTTAAAATAATCCAAGTGTTTCAAACATAAAATTCCAAGTTTTGAAACTAAAATTCCAGGTTTTCAAACAAAAATTCCAAGTTTTGACAAACAAATCCAAGTTTTCAGAAACAAATCCAAGCTTTCAGAAACAAATCCAAGCTTTCAGAAACAAATCCAAGTTTTCAAAAATAATCCGACTTTTCAAAAATAATCCGACTTTTCAAAAATAATCCAAGTTTTAGAAAATAAATCCAAGTTTTCAGAAACAAATCCAAGTTTTCAGAAACAAATCCAAGTTTTCAGAAACAAATCCAAGTTTTCAGAAACAAATCCAAGTTTTCAGAAACAAATCCAAGTTTTCAGAAACAAATCCAAGTTTTCAGAAACAAATCCAAGTTTTCAGAAACAAATCCAAGTTTTCAGAAACAAATCCAAGTTTTCAGAAACAAATCCAAGTTTTCAGAAACAAATCCAAGTTTTCAGAAACAAATCCAAGTTTCAGAAACAAATCCAAGTTTTCAGAAACAAATCCAAGTTTTCAGAAACAAATCCAAGTTTTCAGAAACAAATCCAAGTTTTCAGAAACAAATCCAAGTTTTCAGAAACAAATCCAAGTTTTCAGAAACAAATCCAAGTTTTCAGAAACAAATCCAAGTTTTCAGAAACAAATCCAAGTTTTCAGAAACAAATCCAAGTTTTCAGAAACAAATCCAAGTTTTCAGAAACAAATCCAAGTTTTCAGAAACAAATCCAAGTTTTCAGAAACAATTCCAAGTTTTTGAAATAAATAATCCAAGTTTTTGAAAACTTTAAAATAAATAATCCAAGTTTTTGAAAACGAATCCATATTTTCAAAAACAAATCCATGTTTTCAAAAAAATCCCAAATAAAAAAAAATTATTATCATTCAATGAAATATCGATTAGGAAATTCATTTTAATTCTATGGAAATAAATAATACAAATGTAATTTTAGGTTAAAAAATCAAGAAATTACCCTACTAAGCACAGTCTAAGCGCTACTCTGGTACAAATACGTTATCCAAGTGCGTTTGGACTGTTTTATGCACTTTTCCAATTTTGTGAAAACTATTGAAAAATGTGAAAATGCCGCCAAGCTAAGCATAGTATAAGTGAACATGTCGCACAGAATTATTCGCAAATGCGTTTAGACTGTGACTATACCGGAGCATTTTTTAAATTTTGTGCAAATTAGGTAACTATTTTTTTTTGAAATTGAATTCGAAATGAAATGACGATTGTTAATGTTCCGGGAGATAAATTTATTTATGATTTACATTTGATTTGCTCAGATAAAACAAGATAATGCAAAAATAATGAAAGTTATAGTATTTGTAATAATATATTTGGAAACGTTTAAAATTTCTCGAATATTTCATTACGGTGCGGGAAGTTTCAGCAATTTGCCTTAAGGCACGATGCCATACACGACTAGTTTATTTTGCTTTTCACTCAATATCAAACACATCCGTTAGCATTCATCAAGGATAAAATTAGTGGGTGTTAATTTAAATAGTAAATGATGATTTTATAGGCTTTTGGAAACAAAAATATTATTAAATTTTGTGTGTACTGTCGGATTAAGGATAAAAATCTTACACGGTGGAGCAATCCCCATTTACGACTAAATAACTCAATTCAAACAAAAAAAATATTTATTTTGCTTTTGATATCAAACATTTTCGTTGGCATTTACAATAAGTGTCCCAACAAAAGACGTAAAATCGTAACTTACAATATGAAATGTGAAATATGCAAAACGAAAAACATCAAATACGAAATGCGAAATGGTAAATCCTGGCGTGGACAAGTTTAAAATAAATATAGATCGGTTTTTCACGACGACGACGACATGCATTTCAACATTTCTACATTTTTATTACAAAAGTTGTTCATTTTAACTTTTGCGAATTGCAAAAACTAATATATTTCTGATCAATCACATATTTATTTAAAGGAAAGTTGAAAATACAAGTTTAAATTAAAATCGTATCGGAATTAAAATATATTTTTTATTAAAAATATTGTTTGGTGGAGGAACGAATCGGTAAGAGATATACTAAAAATTATATATATACTAGATGACCCAACAGACG